GGCAGGGGCAGGCAACCTTTCCCCTTTAAGGGCCGAGGGACTTCAGCTCCCAGAATCCCAAGAGCTATTGGCCAACATGGGACTATTGGCCAACATGGCTGAGGCTTCTGGGAGCTGAAGTCCCTCAGCCCTTAAAGGGGAAAGGTTGCCTACCCCTGGCCTAAGGGGACGACAATGGCAACCCTTCTCTATTTCAGTCTTGCCAATAAAATTCTGTGATGGAGTCAGCATAATTCAGAGTTGGCTTTGGGACACATGACAATTTCAGTTGAATCTATGTTACAAAGTGGCAAAGAGTATGAGCATTTCTTCTGGGCATTTGGTGGTATTGCCAGACTGGATCCCGGATGGGGTTCCTGTAACTTTAATCTTTAACAGTCCTTGGAGAAGGTGGGACACTGTAAAATTCCATAAGGAGGGATAAAGGTTCCTGTCCTCACCTTCCAAACCCTAATGATCAGCCACAACCAGCATAGCTATTGCCTTCCTGGTGGAGTATGTGTATATGTGAAAGACCACCCAGATCACTTGGGGACTGGTGAGACTTGTAGGAGAGGAAAGCTGTGGCTGAAAGTTGGAGTTTGGGGAGTGCAGGTACTTTTATCCCTCTTAATGGAGTTTAACAGTACCTTATCCTTCTCCAAATTCTGTTAAGGATTAAAATTATAGGAGTAATTTTGAATCTAATCCAGCCACCCAACTAATGATCAGTCTGCTACCCAGTTTTTCATGTTTTATAGAAATTATCCATAAAAAGCCTTCTCTCTTTTCTCAGATTTTTTTTAAAATTTTAAACTGGATTTGGAACTTCAAAAATAGGAATATTAACAGCAAACCATTCAAACACAAGCCTGTGGTCTGTAAAGTATGACATGTGGCTACCTTAGGTCTGTGCCAAGACATCTTGCTGCTTAAAAGCAACTGCATTTATAAAATAAAAATAAATAAAATAAAAGAGAAAGGAAGAAAAAAAGACATGAATTCATCTCCAGTGTTAGGGGTGAGAGAGAGAGAGAGAGAGAGGATTTTCTTTGCACAATTGTAAAACTTTGATATCTTTCACTACAATGGATCCTTCCTGAGATTTGTGGTTTGGGGGGTTTCCAAGAATTCTCTGCTAGAGAGTACCAGTGCTGTAGTTCAAGGCAGTGTCCAGAGAATTCTAGGTACCTTACCAAATCACATATCTCATGATTCATTTGATTGAGCATTGATATTTGAAATGGTATGAATCTATGTAATGTGAACTCATTCTAGAGTAGTGATGGGCAACTGTAGCTGGTTCTGCAGGCAATTTTCTGATGTGATGACCCTACATGGATCACCAAAATTATAGGGGGGAAAGTTTACTTCTGGTTTTGAAAAATGAATATTATAGTGTTAAACCAGGGTCCCTGGACTTTTTGATCCAGGGGCTGGTTCGCTGGCCCCCAGATCTTCCTGGGGGCTGGAGGCACGCATACATGCACACATGAACATGACTCCAGATGCCATTTTGGAAGACAAAATGGTGTCCGAGTAGTGCGTATGCACGCGCGACATTGCGCATGCATGCACACAACTCCAGACGCCGTTTTGGAAGACAAAATGGCGTCCGGCGGGCTGGTAGGAAGACCTCAGCTGGCCGGGGCCCGCCCACGGGCTGTAGTTTGGGGACCCCTGTGTTAACAGTTCAGGGGGAGCTGCAACCTGTTTAAAAAGTGAACTGCCCCTCCTGGAGGTTCCCAGAAGAAGTAATTCACCCTCTCCCTTTTTTGACCAGAAAAAAAATGTGGGTTTTGGACCAGCTGTAGTAAACTACAGTTTGGTAAACAATTGTCTCTATTCAACCACTTGCTGAGTAGAAGATATGGAGTTTCTTTCATTTCTTTTATTGCTAATGATCTGCATTTCAGATGAATCTTTGTGGTGCATTTTAGTACAGTTTAAATCCTGACCTTATGTGTAAAACAAGATATCTTTCTCTAAAAGCAGTAACCTTAAAGGGAAAGATTTCATAAAATTACTGCATATGCTTCTTCTGTTCTGAGAGATTCTTATACTTAGAAAGGTGGGAGTATGTTCTGGTGTTCAAATCAAATTTAAGTCAAATATATGTTCCTTAGCTTTAAACCTGTTATTGCTCTTTCTCAGTAGATATTGCTACCATTTGTTTCCTTCTGTGCTTTCTGACATCCTTAATATTTGTCCACATATTCCCCACTTCTATCTTTCCCTGCTTAAAGCTAAATCTTCCTGTTCCCTTTCCTGATGTCTTATCATTAAGACCCTTTATCATATTCATAGCATACCAGTTTCCCCTCTCTTTTTGCTTGTCAACATCCTTCTTTGTATCCAGGACCAAATGCAGAACACCAGACAAGGTGTTATCAATGTACTGAGCACTACTGTGGCTTCATAAATATTCGATATAAAGCTTGTTTTTAATGCAGTCAAAGCTGGCATTGACCTAATTCTTTCGTGGTGCTCATTCATATGCTCTAAAACCTCTATGTGGCCCTGTGGAGAAAATACTGTCTGTGTTCATGTTGTGGTTAGGACAGGGGCTGCTTTCCAGTGTTATTTGGCAGACTTGGGGGAAAAGTACTTGGTTAGCTACAGCTTCCAGAATTCCCCGAATACCATGAGGCTCAGGGATTCAGTGAGCTTTAGTCCAAAAAGCCATTTCCTCAAGCTCTGCATATTTACATGGCAACACATTCCTTAAGACTGCCTGCTTATGAACCTTGGTACCTTTAAGAATAATCACAGTGATTTATCTAGCATTTCTACTACACCAGTGAGTAGTGGGTTGGGACTCCATGCAAGGTTACAGCTTATCCTAAGCTGAGTTGTACTGTTTGCAGGCAGAACCTGGATCCTAGAGGGACACTTTAAAATCAAAACATTTAATCAACATTACAACAACAGTTTTGTGTGTGTATATGCCTTTGGGTATGTGTATATGTATCAGTTGACTTATGGCGATGTCATGAATTTCATAGGATTTTCTTAGGAAAGGAAAGTTCAAAGTTGTTTTTGTCAGTTCATTCCTCTGAAATATAGCCTATAGCACCTGGTATTTGTTGTTGGTCTCACAACCAAGTACTAACCATGGCTGACCCTAGCTTCCATGATCAGATGGGATATGGTGCCTTTGGGGTATTTAGGCTGTTCAACAGTTGTGATACTGTAAGCTAGACTTACAATATCCTGGGGATTCACGTTTATGATCATGAACAACCAAATGTGACCCCCAAAACCTACCTTTGCATTCTGGTAGGACCTCATCCAAAGTGTTTCTGAGGTGCTGGAGGTTGAAGGACTGGGAAATGACATCTGCATCACACTCCCAGTTTAAGGCTGTCTTTGTAGAAAAAGTTGTAGTAGGACCTGGGGGAGAGATGTCAGACGTAACTTTCCAGCATTCTGATCTTGAGCACTTGAAAAACAATGTGAAGTCAAAGACTTTCATGGCCAACAAACATGAGTTTTTGTGGGCTTTTCAGAGTGTGAGGCCATGTTCCAGAAGAATTTCTT